TGGGCTGATGTTGTGGCGTTCACTGTGACGTTCGCTGCGCCAACTAGCGGTGGGGTATCTGAAGCTGACTCGTAACCCGAATTTGAGCTCGCAACTCAAAGCAAAAAATCGGCCGAGAGACGGCTCGTATCTCGAAAAACTCGTTAGTTGGGACACTCGTAAGTCAAGGCCCCACTGTACCTGACTTTGAGACAATTTCCTGGCGCAATCGAAAGGGTGGCTGGAATGGCTGGAGCGGCCATCCTGTGGCTCCCGGCCAAGACCATGTTAGAAAGTTGGTCTTTTCTGTGGTCACAAGGCCAGCCTTTGGGAAGCTCTGGACCTGAGATCCTCAAACCCACAATTCTACAGACTGACAGAGATGCTGCCATTAGAAACCACATCTTGCATGAGTTTTGGAAAAGTCACTCTTACCTGGTACCAGGTCATCTCTGGACTCGGGGTGCCACCCTGGCAGCCAAGGCTGGGGCAGTGAATGGAGTCGGTGCTGCCCAGACGGAGGTAGCGCGTCCGCGGCACGGGGCGCGCACAGGAGAGGTCGGCCTGGGGCTGCACTTCCAGGACCATCTTCACACAGCACGCCTCGTCCCTGCGGCTCCTGGGAGAGTCAGGAGAGTCAGCGCGGCCCCGTGAACACAGGTTTGACCCAGTACTAGCGGGCTTGGGGGTATTTCAGATAAGAATGCGTGTGGGACACACCTCATCCTGGGCCTACAGATATAGGAGCCAGCATGGCTCCTCTCCGCGGTCAGAAAGCGCAGGGCCGTCTTGTCCAGGAGCAGGTGGGACTGGTTGCTGGTAATTTCCTTTAAGGCGCCTCCTTCCCGAGGCTGAAGGTACCACTGGGCATCAGACAGGCCCTCACGGCCACGGCAGGGCCGGCGCGCGGGGCCCTGGGCGGGTGAGAGCGGGTGTCTGTGGTAGGAACGGGGTTTCTGTGGCTCTGCTAAGTCACAAAATAAGACAAACTCCTCGGTGCTCTCCGCAGAGTACATCCAAAGGAAGTTTTTGATGGAGCAACCTAGAAACCACAATAGACAAGCAGCACAGAAACGCATTCAAGGATGAAACTGACTTACATTTACAAAGAGTAGTTGTTATTTTCCACTTCACTGTCCCTGTTTTGTGGGAAAAGGAAGTTTACATGCTAACGCCCCCCCCCCGCCCCAGGGCACCCCAGCCACTTCAGCTTAGCAGTGGGTAATATTTGATTATTATGTAATTGTATTTTGAGCAGTTAGACAGCCGAGCCAGTGTATTCCTGCTCCCACCCAACACCCACCTGAGTAACTGGGTCCCCCATCAATGCTTGGCATCAGCTGAAAGCTGTTCACCCCAATAATTTCTCCTTCTACAACCTCTTACTAGTAGGAAGAATGTGTTCTGTGATAGTGTGTCATGCTACTGATATATCAAATTATCTGTCACTTTAAGCTTTGACCATAAGATTCAGTGTTGACTTGAAAAGTGAACCCTACCTGAGATGTTAAACCCTTTGATCCTCTCTCCTGTGACAAACCAAAGGAAGATCCACCCCAAACAGAGCATCGTCCGCCCAGGGGCCGGTCCCTCAGGAAGCACTCCGTGGCGCGGGGCTGCGCTGGGACTCAGAGTCCACCCCGCAAAGCCTCTTCATCGCTGACATAAGTGGGAGATAAGAAATTGAAACTGTCATCAAAATGCAAGTCACACAGGAAGCTTCGAAAGGGCAGGTCCTTCCTAGCAAGCGGTCACATGTCCGCGTGTGCATGGCATTCAGTGGGGTGTGCCGGCTGCGTGCCACTCACGCCTGAGGTGGGGAGCGCATGGCGAGCTCACAGCACCCGGACCTGGCACAGGCAGTGCGCTCTTCTGACCCCATTTCCTCACAGGATTCTCTCCCCCCCCGTTCTCAGCTAGTACGCCCATTTCCATGAGTAATTTGGAAAGAATTAAATGAAAATTTTCCTGAAAAGAAAATGACACGTTGAGTGAAAATGTTAGACTCCCCACACTTAGGGGAGCTGGTGGAGTGTGAAGTCCGCGCTGTGTGCACATTGCTAGTGTGTGGGAACTGTAGCGCATGCAGGATGCTGGGCTTTCTGTGTCGCAAGTAAGAGGAAAACGCTGCTGCTGGACGGCCTTGCTACCAATCCTCTGAATAGAAAACGAGGACGGGTCACCGCAGAGAGTGCAGGAGCCTGGGCTGTGCTCCCAGCGGCTTGTCCCCTTGCTGGTAGCGTGGTCATTGGGATTTTCAAATCACCTACAAGAGGTGAGAGGTCAGGGCACTGGGAGGGCCCTATCCATCCAGGCCGCCACAGGATGGTTGTGAAGCAGGAACGCCCTCCTCGCAGTCCTGGAGCCTGGGGCCCGCACCGCGGCGCCAGCGTGCCTGGCTCTGGTGAAGGCCTCTCTGCCTGGCCTTCTTGCCGTTACCGCGCTTGGTGGAAGGCTCCGGAGATCTCTCTGGAGTCTCTATTACAAGAACACAAATCCCATTCACGAAGGCTCTATCCTTATTATCTAAACACCCCTAAGGCCCCACCTCTAGTACCATCACTAGGGTATTATCTTTGAGGGTTAGGATTTCGACATATAAATTAGGAGGTTGGGGGGAACACAGACATTCAGGTCATAGCAGTGGGCAATATTTGATTATTATTTAATTTTATGAGTGGAAAAATAAAAGTAATTTTCCTATAGAACAGTTTTCCTGTGCCTCTGAGAGTTCTGACTGTTGTCACTAACAGAAATAAGCTGTGCGTTATTCTTGGGGTTACAGACATAAGGCACTTTAACCCCGGACCTCAGCCAACATTTCTCCGCGAACATTTCCACCTGTTTCAGGCAATCCAGGAGGGGACAAATGAAAATGTACAGCCCCTGTTCTCGAGGGCCTGGCCGCGTGGAGAACTACATTAAAGAAAAAATGATTTGACACTGATTAGAACAGCAAGGAAGACTGTTCAATACTAGTGCAGTGGAGAGAGCAGCCAAGACTAGTGCAGTGGACTAGGGCCTGGGGAGAGAGATTAACTCAACTCAGAGCACAACAAGGGCAGGTGAAGGTTTCCAGCCCAGGAGCAGGGCAAGGCCATCAGGGAATAGAAACCAAGAGGAGAGATGAAAGGCTGGGGATTCTGATTAAACTGTCCTAACAGGATTCTTTCTGAAGACAGTTTAAGGACTTAGAAACAAGGGTGGGGAATAGAAACTGGATCAGATATCAAAGTGGCTGATCCAGGGGATGACTTAGCAGAATTCTTTGCTAAAACTTGGCTGGGCAGACCAAAGACAGAGCGAGGGCTGGGCCCCAGCTGATCTGAGAAGAGGTCTTCAGAGGAGCCGGACTAACGTTTGGTCAAGGAGAGAGTCTTTGTCAACATGAACATGCAAATAAACAATTCCATGAAGATGAAATAACGAAACAAATGCAGTGATGACAGGAAAGAAAAAATAAAGGGGGACGTAAAGGAAGGAAGTGGGGGATAAGCTATACTAAATACCGTATGGCCACGCTGAAAGTTCCCTTAAAAAATCTCCCCGCGCATCTTTGATTTTTAGGAAGCTCGCAGCATCAGTCTCTCTCTGTATCCACATCTAACCAGCCATGCAGGTCTTCTGCTCACGCTTTCCTGCACTCACTGGTCCTTCCTGCAACCACTCCCTCCACCCACGACTTTCCCAGGAGCTTTCTTTCCAGGAGTCTCCACCTTTTTTCATAAAGAAACACTTGCCTTTCCTCATCTTATAAAATTCTTCCTTTTCAACCAGTTTCCAACACACACACACACACACACACACACACACACACACACCGTGTCTCCAACATCTTGGGATGCAGGAGGAGGGATAACTTTAATATTTATAAATTAGTTATCAATAAGTAATGTTTCTCTAGCAGAAACAATGAGCTTGAGGTGTCTTTGGGGATCCGGTCAGAGCAGAGGAGTCTGGGGCAGCAGCACGGGGGAAAAGGGCTCAAGCCAGAGAAGTCTGGAAGCTGCCAGGGAGAAGAGATGGGCTTCCCCGAGGAGCACTGGCCCGGCAGGGTGGGTCAGGGCCAAGAAAAGTTAAACAGAATATACCCCAAAAGGAAGAAAATAAAGAACAGAGCACAGGGACCACCCTGACACTGAGCACAGGGAGAACTTGAAGGGAAGACTAGATGCCAATGGCAGCAGCTATAGAGGAATCAGACACAAAAAGACTGCAAGTGTCCACTATGTTTGGCCACCATCGGGTCAGATGAGTGCACAGGGAGGGGAGGTGATGAGAGCTGTGCTGTGAGGAGGGAGCAGGGGACAATGTGGGGAGTGGGGACGCACCACGCCTCCCACAGGCCACACTGCTGGGAGAGGGGGGGAGAGGGCGGGTCTGCTCCTCTGCTGGTGAAAGGAGAGTTGTGACAGGAGTCTCCTGTGTGGGGAGGAGTAGGCAGATAGCAGGTGAAACAGAAGTGAGAGTGAGATTCATGGACCGATTTCTGAGGGGGCAGGAAGCGAGACAGCCTGGAAATCACAGAGACATGGGCTGGGACAGGAGGTGGGCAGGTCTATCCAGCCCAGCGCTCAGGCGGGAGGGGGAGGCAGAGCCCTGCTGTGAGCTGCTGAGAGAGGGGAGCGTTCAGTGCCCAGGAGCTTCCTGAGGGTGGAGGGCAGGAGAGGGCTGGACAGGGCTGGAGTCACTGTGCTCTCTGTCCCCGTGGGCTGCTTTTTCTCATAAGGACTGTGGTCAAGGAAGGCAGGCTAAAGCAGCTGCCTTTCAAGACATGGCCTGCCCCCTCATCTTTTTTTATTTTGCCCACAAAGCCCTGAACAAATAGTCTACCCATCGCCAGCCTCTGGCAGCATTTTTCTAAAAGCAAGCGTGAGGGTGTCACTTCCATGCTGACTTCACTGGCCCTCTGCCTGTGAGGTGAAGAATCCAGTCCCAGCACCCCTGTGAAGCCCTGCATGACCTCATTTGGCTCTCATATCTGACCTGGACTTCCTCAGAGAGACCCTCTCTGGCCACCTGCATGATGACACCCCCCCACCACCACCCACTGCGCCTGCCTGCCAGTCAAGCTCCTGTTACTCAGGTGACATTCCTTTGTCTCAGTGACCCAGGCTCTCTCGTGTACTCTTTGGGTGAGAGCTACTGTCCTTCTGTTTTATTGACAGACAAAATTTACCATGAAATAGTGGTCCCCGCTATTAATGGGTATAATAAGGGGAATTTACGTACAAATGTAGAGTCTCAGAGACACTGTCCCATTACCACATGCTGTGGCCTCACAGAAAGAGATGAGAGCCTGTCAGGGTGACTCACATGTCCGCAGGGTCTCTTCCTCAAAGCATTTTCCTGGTTCTATATGAGCTGCATGTCTTCTATCAGAGGTTGAGGATCACTGCCCTCAGTGGGTCAAGGCTACAACTTCAATGATATTTGGTTGATAATGAATTAAGAATTTCACTGACCAGAGCTTTGGGTGGGAAAAAAACAAAAGAGAAGAAAATGCTGGAGATGTCAGGTGTCAAATTGGACAAACATCTTGAATCCTTATCCACAAAATGCTCAAAGCCCTATGAATAGATTTATGTTAGTTAGAATCACCAGTTTTTATAAACTGAAGACTCCAGACATGTAGAGATATAAATTTTGCCAGTTAGATAGCACACATATTATTACAAAACATTTTATGAGAAGGAATTGTGTTAGCAATTCATTTTGAAACTTATTTAAGCTCTTTTCGCAGCTTACATTTTCTGGTTAGGAAATCTAGTGAAAAAATGTACTATTGCCTTACCTTTATTTCCTGTTCTGAAGACAAAAAAGAGGAAGGAACTTCACGTCACTTCAATGACTGCCGGCTGTTCTTTCTGAAGAACATAAGAGAATACCCATCTTCAAAGAATTCTCCTGTTTCTCTTCCTACTCAGACAGGTAACTGGAGAAGATGCAACAACAGTTAACTCTTACAAGTTTGGAAATATACCTGGAGAAAAAAGACAATCTTTATTATCTTGTGAGGGACCACTGACATTGTCAAATCCATGGTCACATAGAGGAAAATCAAATAACTCCCTCTATCAGTCAAAGGAAATGCCCTGAAGATGAAGCAGCTAAGACTCTTTGACACCCCTCGACTAGATGAGGTTTGCGGTTAGGCTCGGTTGAAAACTGAGTAAGCCTATTTCCTTTACAGGAATTTCCTGTAAAGCCTATTAGCACTCAATTTCTCAATTGTGGGTTTTTGTTTGTTTGTTGTTTTTGGTCTTGTACAACTAACCTCCCAAAGGGTAACCTTGAAGATAAACGCTAAGCTTTTCTTGTGATTAGGAAATAATCTGAAATCACCAAGGTTTTTTGGGTACGTGTTTATGAAGAGAAAGCTTCAAAATATAACACAATTAAGAATACCACGGTCCTTTGATGTGACAACTAAAATCCTTTAAGGCAGACCTTCCAGCACCCAGAGATCATGCTGGTCAGAAGAGCTTCATCTACACAGCATGGGGGCGAGCCAAGGAAACATCCTCCTCTCATGTTCCAGTAAAGATGAGGCCGCTTTGCGGAGCCCCCGCTGTTCTGGGTCACTTCTGCACACAGCTGGAGGGGAGCCTCAAGGACAGCTGGAGACCAAGTTCTCTTTGGGATGAAGGTAGCATTCGTGTTTGCCTGAGGCGACTTTGGGAGGCCAGAAGACAGCATCAGCAACTGTGGCTAGAAGCACCTCAAAGCATTTCTGAGCTCGTCATGACCCTGCAGGTTCCTAGAGAACACACGTCTTTCCAGGCTGGTCCCGAGGGAGGCCAGGGAGCAGGTGAAAGGACACTCCGTGCGGGAGGCTCAGCCTCAGTGTCCTGGGGAGCAGCACGGAGACCACCTGGGGGCTGGGGAGAGATCAGGTAGGATGGGGGGAAAGGGCTGACATAGGGTTCCTATGACAGGTCCCAGTAACTGTTGAATTGAACTGGACTGCAGTGCAATGGGGCATGGGCTATCTTCCTGAAGATTCAGAGACTCTGACGCAGATCTTGAAGCTGAGAGTAAAGGTATTTAGAAAGGTGTTTCTGAAGTAAATTTGCTCACTGGAATGGACTTGGAATAGGGTTTGCTGGAGATGGAGTGCCCTGGTCCAGGCATTGTGGACATAGTCTCCAAAAATCTGCTCCTTGTGCCAAGATGTGCAGTCTATTTCTCCTGTCCTTGAATCTAGGCAGACTGTGACTTGCTCTAACCCACTGGTTCTCAACCTTCCTAATGCCGCGACCCTTTAATACAGTTCCTCATGTTGTGGTGACCACCAACCATAAAATTATTTTTGTTGCTACTTCATAACTGTAATTTTGCTACTGTTATGAATCGTCATGTAAATATCTGATATGCAGGATGTATTTTCATGGTTACAAATTGAACATAATTAAAGCAGAGTGATTAATCACAAAAACAATATGTAATTATATATGTGTTTTCCGATGGCCTTAGTCGACCCCTGTGAAAGGGTCGTTTGATCCCCAAAAAGGTCACAACCCACAGGTTGGGAACCGCTTCTCTAACCCATGGAATGCAGAGGCCGTGACGCTGCGCCAGCTCTGGACCTAGTTTCCAAAAAGTCTTCTGCTTTCATTTTCTTTCTCTCAGAAGCCAAATATTCTGTAAACAAGCCCAAGGTAGCTATAAAAAGCAGCTGTAAAAACATGAAGAGAAGGAGAGAGAGGGAGAGGGAGAGGGAGAAGGAAAGGGAGAGGGAGAGAGAGAGAGAGAGAGAGAAAGAGAGAGAGAGAGAGAGAAAAGAGAAACATTGATTGGTTGCCTCCGGTATGTGCCCCAACCAAGGATCAAACCCTCAACCTTTTAGTGTACAGGACAATGCTCCAACCAACTGAGCATAAAACAAATGAGGTGCTACCTCACACCTGCCAGCAAACGACAGGTGCTAATGAGGATGTGGAAAAAGGAAACCTCATGCACTGCTGGTGGGAATGCAGACTGGTGCAGCCACTATGGAAAACAATGTGGAGTTTCCTCAAAAAATTAAATATGGGACTACCATTTGACCCAGTGATCCCACTTCTAGGAATATATCCTAAGAAATCCAAAATACCAATCAGAAAGAATGTATGTACCCCTATGTTCATGGCAGCACAATTTACAATAGCTAAGATCTGGAAACAGCCTTAGTGCCCATTAGTGGGTGAGTAGATAATGAAGCTGTGGTACATTTACACCATGGAATACTATGCAGCAGTAAAAAAGAAGGATCTCTTACCCTTTGAGACAGCATGGAGGGACCTGGAGAGTATCATGCTAAGTGAAATAAGCCAGTCAGAGAAAGAAAATTATCACATGATTCACTTAGATGTAGAATCTAATGAACAAAATAAACTGACAAACAAAATAGGTTCAGAAACATGGAAGCATGGAAGCGACTGACAAATCTCAGAGGGAAGGGGTGGGAAAGAGATTAACCAAAGAACTTATATGCATACTAGTGGCCTGGTGCACGAATACGTGCACATTGAAAGGAAATTAATTAGAAGAAATATTTTAATATTGCTATTTGCCCTTTCTCTATAATAGAAGTGTCAACCAAATTCACAATTGACAATGATAGCTGGAAACACACATGTGCAATTGGCACCAGTGAGAGCTTTATAGGTATCGTGCATGCACGAGTCATCTTAGCCTTTTATAGATATAGAATAAACTTGCTTAATTAGACCTGCTTTCTGATTTAGCTAAACTTTTTCCAGCCCAGTGAAGCACCCCAACTTCTCTTTCAGGCAATTGTCAGCAACACAGCAGTAAATATCAACACAACGCAGATTATTATTGTACATCAAGCAGGGAGAACAAAGGGTAAAATATTTAACTGCAGCAGTGTCTGACTATATTCTGCACAGTGAGAAAACCTGAAATCATTTTCAAGGTCCATCATTTCTTACTTCTTTTCAGGTGGGTCAAGTTTCTAAGCTTTCTAAATCTTTGTTTTCTGGCTAATGAAAAGAAAATTAGATTCCACTGAGTCTCCTATCTACCTACTCCAGGACTTCTGTGAGGATCAAATGAGATGAGATGTGGGAAAACGCTTCACAGACATTTGGTTAAAGTGTGAAATGTTTCCACCTGGCTATAAAGCAAGTTGTGTTCCTAGGCTGAAGAAACTCCAAGGAGGCTAGTCGCTAGGGAGAGGAAGCCGGGTGTTGCTATGTGACATCATTACCTGGATGGTCGGACACTTAGCATATTAGCTTTCTATATATATAGATAGATATGCACAAGCCAGGGACATGGACAATAGTGCAGCAAAGGCCTGGAGAGGGGCAGGAGATCTTATGTCTCTGGACCCATTTTGTTTGTCAGTTTATCTTGTTCATTAGATTCTACATATGAGTGAATCATGTGATATTTTACTTTCAATGTGGGGGAAAAGGGGCACATCTGTAATACTTTCAACAATAAAGATAAATTTAAAAACAAACAAACATATCCTCGGGTGAGGATTTTAAAAAAGAGACCATTCTGTGAATTCATGTCCAATCATTTTATGTGTGTCTATTATTGTATCAGAAAAGTGATAGAGGGTAAATAAAATACAGTTTCTTCCTTCAAAGAGAATATATTTGGGGGGATAGATAAATGATTTCAGATAAATAATTACAATAATAACTCCTATCTAACAAACATTTGCTAAACATCTATTATATGCAAGGTCTTTTGCTAGTAACTGTCATTGTGCATTGCCCTTCAGACATGACTAGTTTAGCTGGAGAGAGAGGGGCTGGACGCCGAAAGACCCTTTCTTGTGTGGTAAATGCCAGCGAGGTATGTCCAGCAGATCATGGGGAGGGGCTCCTGTGTGGCCTTGGGGCTGACTCTGGGAGATAATTCACAAATTTTCATTAATTTTTTCTCTAAACTCCAGTGTAGAGATGCTTAAATTGGTCATCAGTAATATCTTCAATCTCTTCCATAGACATTCATTTACTTACCTTCCTCTACCAACTGCTGTTGGACTCTCCCCACAACAGTTTCTTTTAAAATGATGGTTGTTTTTTTCTCTCTTCGAACCACTGATTTCTCAGACATTATACCTCCCTCCTCCCTAAAAATCCCCAACTTTGAATAGCATGGCCTTATACTATAACATCACCCATGACCTGCTTCACTGAGGCTGTTCACAAAGCCTGGGTCACTCCACTTTGTTCCCTGGAGACATTAGCACCCTACTCACTCTTACTCTCCTCAGAGCTCTTCCTGTTATGATTCTTGCTAATGTTAGTATTCACACAAATGATCCATGGAACACCTCATTTCCCTCTTCAAAATGTCTTGTTCTCCACCTCGACCTCAGGCATTTGTTCCTATGGTCACAGCATAGACTCATTATTACTAATAATTGCCAGGCCTCCATAACCTGTATTTCAAGTGTCCCTCTCCCTGATACTCGCCTCTTATCAGCTTACTCCCTAAAATACACTAATTTCAATTCAACTGTGACCATTATTTGGTCACAGATGCTCATATTGATCCCATCAAATTTTCAATTATTTCCCTCTATGCTTGCATTTTCTCGCTTAAATTTTATTATTATTCACTATTATCACTCTCTTGCATATGACTTTAGTTCACTTTCCAGTCTCTTTATCATACTAGCTTGAAAAATATGAACTCTATTCCCTAGTTGTACCTACACAGCTCAACAGCTGACAAAACACACGGCCATGCTGATTAGCCTCACTCTCAATTAAAGGAGAGCTTAATGATTCTTGACAAGTGTACTATATTTCTCTAGTTATTTCAGTCTCCCATTCTTCTAGAAAACAACTTTATAGTGTTTCCTTTTACCTAAAATCTCCTCCTTCAACCTCATTCTCAGCTGAAGACTGGAAAAAGTACAGCAAGCAGGAAACAACTTTTATGAGTTCTCTCCAAAGCATCTACCCACCTGTCTTTGCAAGAAATAGTAAGGGATATAGGTAAGGCAGTCATGAAGCTATCATAGAGAATATAGGTCCAGGGTGGACTTACTGGCTGAATCTGAGAAAGGACATGGGACAAAGAGAATTGATATATAATAGTCTCACCTTATGCACATGGGATACATTCTAAGACATACAGTGGATGCCTGAAACCATGGAGTACCAAGCCCTATATATATGACACCTTTTCCTATGGTTATATACATACCTATTATAAATTTTAATTTGTAAATTAGGCACAGTAAGGGATTAATGATAATAATTTACAATAAGATAAAAAATATACTGTAATAAAAGTTATGTGGTCTCTCTCTGTTATAATCAAGATAGCTACTGAGAGAGAGACAATGGACAGGTAGCCATGGATACATTGGACAAAGGAATGACTCACATGCCCAGCAGAACAAAGTGGGACAGCATGAAATTTCACCACACTACTCAGAACAGCACAACAGCGCACAATTTAAAATTTATGAATTAGTTTTTTGAAGATGGTGGCTGGGAGGATGGCAGTGAGGGAGAGAGTGTGAGTGGGGGAGGGAGCGAAAGGGGAGAGTGTGGACGTGTGGGGTGGGTCTGTGTGTATGAGTGAGGGACAGATAGATCACGCAGGACAATTGGGGGCTGGTCAAGTGGGCTCACCTAGCTGGACAGCCTCTGCTACTGCTGCAATTACACCCGGGGCAGCTGGCTCTGCCGCAGCAGCCATGCCATCTTGAATGGGAGAGCTGCTGTGCCTGGGAGCCCAGCCTCACCACCAACCAGGGTGCCCTCAGACACCACCTGGGAACCTACAGTCACTCTGGCCAGGGACCTGCTGCCTTGGCCGCAGACCCACAGACATCGGGACTCCAGCCTCCCCGGCTGTGGGCTCCTGTGAGTTCCAGAGCATGGTCCCCTCCCATCAGCCCACCACTCTAGCCCAGGGTGCCATGATTGCATGAGCTGCCACCAAGCCCTACACATCAACCCTGGGCTTGGTGACCATGCAAGCCACCACCAAGCCCACCGCTTTGACCCCGGGCCTGATGACTGCACAGCCTGTTGCTTCAACCCAGGGCACTGCACAACTTGATGCCTAGATCCTTCGGTGAGAGCAAAGATGGGGATACAAAGAAACAACCCCCAAAGAAGAAAAAGGAGGAATCACCAGAAAAGGAACTAAATGAAACTGAGGCATACAATGTGTCAGAAAAAGAATTCAGACTAAGTGTCATACAGTTCATAAGTTAGATAGATGAGAAAATCAACAACTTATATAAGAATCAAGAGGAAATAGTTATATAGCTACAAGAAAAACACTAAGGAAGGTTTCAACAG